ATAAATAGTGGTGGGGGGGGGGGTGCTCTTTCTGAGCATGTTCAGCTACAGGAAGCGCCGGTTGGAGGTTAATGTTGCCAAAGGAGCTTCGATCAGTTATTGAATCAAAGGGTTCACTTTGTTTTTCCACCTGCACTTTGACTGTTCAGTGGCCGGGTTTAATAAGGACATGAAACATTAGAACTGTTTGCATGGTATTAGCTTCAGCACATTATGTTTGTCTATTGTGACTTTGATGAAGATCGAATCATTTTATGACCAATTAATGTAGAAAACCAGCCGATGCCAAATGATTCACTTGTTTTTTCTGCCCCAGAAGCTGCTGATTTAGTTCTACAGAGTCTGTTCTCTGCTCATCCATCACTGTCTGGTTTGGCTCAGCAACCAAATAGGACAGGAATAATAATCACCTTTATTTGGCCAAGTATGTTACACACACAAGGAATTTGTTTCCGGTACAGAACCGAGGCAGCCATCTACGGCGCCAACCCAACCGATGGCTCTAACCATCAGGGGCAACTTGGGGGTTCAGTGTCTTGCCAAAGGACACTTCAACATGTGGACTGCAGGCACCGAGATTTGAACTTCCAGCACTCTGGTTGAGAGACGACTGCTCTACCCACTAAACCACAATCGCACAGGAACGGACTCCAGTGACAGTCAGGTGTGCAGAAAAGATGATCGGTACAAGCCTGCCCTCCATGGAAGACCTGTACACCTCACTGGTCAAAAGGACTGTTACAGGTCACTGTGCACCAAGACAACCAGGCACAGGGGCAGTTTCTTCCCCCAGGTCATCACTCTGATGAACACTTAATCAACAACAGTATGACTGGACAATAGCCCTCAGTGCAGTACCTGTGAATATACGTACCTCGTACAGATCATACAGATCCATACAGGTCTCTAGTTTTAAGTACTCTGTTTTTATTCCTATTTATCTCATTTCAATGAACGTTCCTTTCTTTGTCTGCATTGTGTACTGCCTGTTTATACTGCTTATTTTGTATTGTATGCACTGTTTGTTGCTTGTTAATACTGCTTATTTTTATTATATTACACAGCCTTATGTTGGTTTACTGTTTACTTGCCCCTTGCATGGGGATATGTACATACACATTGAGAGCCGATGTACCAGAGTCAAATTCTGTGTGTGTCTGACACACCTGGCCAATAAAGCAGATTCTGATTCTGGATCAGACCTGCACAACGCTCAGGAGGAATTTTGGACCGTTCTTCCTCACAGAGCTGCTTTGTCTCAGACAGATTCCCTGGATGTCTGGTGTGAAGGTCATTCCATGGCATCTCTGTTGGGTCGAGCTCTGGGCTCTGAATGGAACACTCCATGTGGCAGATTTTCTTGTTTTGAAGCCACTCTGTTACTTTAATGTTTAGGGTCACTCTCCTGCTGCATCACCCAGCTTTTACTGAGCCTCAGCTGGTGCACAGCCACCCTGACATTGCCTTGTAGGATTCCCTGATAAACTTGGGAATTCATTTTTCCCTCCATAATGGCAGCAGTCCAGGCCCAGAGGCAGCAAAGCAGCCTCACATCATGATGTTCCCTTCACTATACTTGACTGTTGGGATAATGTTTTGATACTGATATGAAACATGAAAACATCATGTTTCATGAAAAGCTGGTGCTTTCCAAGAAAAGCCACTGCAGCACAGTAACATTTTTCCAAAGACCACCTTGTTATTCCACAACACTCCTGATGTTTTCATGATGTTTCTTTCACACCACACATCTTGGGAATCTGTTTGAGA